GGAAAATACCCGAACAAAGCTGAATAACATACATATAAATACCCACAAAAACTTAATAAAACAAACATATATATATATAATATATATATATACATACACACACACACACACACACACACACACACACACATATATATATTTGTATCTATAAGAAGGAAAGTTGCAAATCTTCCTTTTTTATATATATTTATCCTTTCCCTATCCTTTCTTTCTTTTCCCCTCTTTCGTCTCTTTTAATTCCTTTCCTTCCACCCTTTTATTTTTCTTTTGGCTATTTTCAATTCGACCTTTTTTTAAAAATAATAATAATAACAACAATAACCAAGTTGTTGGTTTAAAGAAATCCAGCAAACAACTATCGGAGCCTCCAGAAAAAAACGGGCCATCGTTTTATCAAGTCCAGTTCTGGCAGGGCCCAATTGCAGGCAGACATACCCCTGCCCCCACACCTGCTGCAATTCCCCCTGGCCCATCCTCTCCTTAAAACAGACCAGCATTGCCCTTGATTGTCTCCGCTGGGGTTAATTTTGCCCAAAGTAGCTAAGCCATAGCATGAGGGCTGGCTCGGAGCAGTGATGGATGGATGGCTGTGAGTTCCTAGTCCTGATACTGGAGTCACCTTGGACCTTCCAGCTGTTCGCTGGATCAGAAGAGAGCAGAATTACCGACCTCCACTTGCAAAATCAGAAGAGGGAGAGAAAGAGGAAAGGAGGGAGGGAGAGAGAGAGAGAGAGAGAGAGAGAGAGAATTTAAATTGCCTGAGAATTTCATGTCACGTAATCTGGGCTGGGCTGGGCTGGGCTTGTTGTTATTTTTAGGCCAAGAAACGAGGTGAAATGGAGGGTTGAAATTATTTCAAAGGAACCAGAAATTTGTTAGATGAGTTTTGTCCCGTTTTACGACTTTCCTCACTGCGTGGCTGCCATTCTTAAATTAGTAACACAGTCGTTAAGTGAACCTGGTTTCCTCATTGGCTTTGCTTGTCAGAAGGTCGCAAAAGGGGGTTCTGGTGTGGACTGCCGGACGCCAGCACCTCCAGCAGCAGAATTGGAGGAGGAGGAGGAGGAGGAGGCGTGGGAGTCAGGGTCAGCATCCAGGCAACCTGAGAGCTCTGAGGCGGAAGAGGAAGTAGAGCTGGCAGAAAGAAATGGAAGTGGAGCCTGGGCTGTCTGTCAGACCTCAGATGGAGAGTCAACAGCCCCCAGGTCTGGAGGTGGCTGATGAGGAAAAGGAAGAACAGCTGGGTCCAGTGCCCGACGCGTGGATCTGCAGAAGACAGAGGAGAGGAGAGCAGTGGAAATCTATGGGCCGGATCTTGGGACGGAAGAGCCACCGCTGCTAGCGAAGCCCCACCCTAGCTCTGGGGATAAAAGGCAGGGGGCGGAGATGAATAGATGTGACAGGCAACTATTCCTCTCCCTGCCGGATGGACTTGTTAGCCTGCGGTGGGAGAAAAACATTTTTGGCGGGGCTATTGGCGCTTCTAATAAAGGAATCTTTGAGTTAACTTCAGAAGACTCGTCGTATTTGGGGAGGTGGGTCAGAACAGGATCATATCACTTGGGGACACTGCAACCGTCATAAATTTCTTCTGCAGCCGGCAAGGCTTTCCTGAAGGCCTCTGGAGCTGATAACAAAGCTCTGGATCGATCCTGAGCTCTGTTATCGGCTCCAGAGGCCTTCAAGAAAGCCTTGCCGGCCGAAAAGAAGTTCCTGAAGGCCTCTGACCGCGAAAAGGAGGCCGGGGGAGATGCACGCAAGTGAGGTTAGCAATGGATGACAATCTCCCGAAAATAAGACCTGGTGCCTTTTTTGGTAGCAAAAAAAAATATATAAGACAGGGTCTTATTTGGGGGGAACCATGGGCATATATTATTTTTGCTTTTATTTATTCCGTTTTGATGGCCGCCGGCCTCAACCAGGGACTCTGGGATGCCACACAAACATCTATACAACTATTACATATTTATGAAAAGAGCTTACATTTCATATCTTGGGGAAAATAGCTTGAAGGAACGACTGGCAAAATTGGAAACGAAAGTGTTTGTGGAAATGAGGGCCGCAGGGCAGAGATGTTGAAGGGTGAACATCGGAACACAATTTGCGATTTTGATGAGCCGCGAAAAAGGAAAAAACCGACTGTCGGTTCCTTGACTTAATAGAAGAGAATCTCTCTGCTTGGCTGACTTTCCCCAATACAGGCTGAATAGAAAAAGAAACAATTTTTTTTCCCCATTTAACCCAGGGAAATTCAAGCTGTAAAAGAGACTGAGGAAACGGCAAATAAATTGGAATTTCAGCAGGTGTATTCGAAATATCAAAAATGGCACTGCAGCTCTGTTCACACGCACAAACATATATATGTTGTGGCCCGCCAGCGGCCAGCAGAGCTGGAGGTTGGGGAGGAACCTGGGCCAGTCCTGGAGTCTGGGGAAGGCTCTGACGAGGGCTCTGCATCAGAGGCAGGGATGGGGCCGGGGCCGTCTGACAGTTACCAGCTGCCTTTGGAGTCAGAGATCAGTGAGGCAGAAGAACAGCTGGAGCCTGTTCCCAGAGTGCACATGCACAGAGCCGCCAGGAGAAGAGAACAGTTAAGGAACAAGGGCTGACTCGGGAGGAAAGGCACAGGTGGATGGTGAACGGGCTCTCCCATAGGGAACAAAGAGGAACGAAAGGGGAGTGGGGTTTTGCAGGAGACAATTAGTTCAATTCATTAAGAGTGAAGATCAGTTCCTGACTTCTTGCCAACTATTGTCTGCTACAGAATGGCGTTTGGAAGATATCGGTCTGGCAACTCTCCAAGCCTGATAAATTGCAACGAAATTTCATTTTAACGTATGCCAATTAGGGTACAAAGGGACAATAAAGTCTATCCATCCATCCATCCATCCCTATCTG